ATAAATTTAAATATATGGGAATTGTTTTGATCGACGATGGAAAATGTGATGCGGAATATGAACGCTTATTTGAATAATAAAATATACTTTCCAAAAGTAAACAGTGCATATATTCAGAATAAAAACGTTAAAACCAAAGAAATGACAGTGAATGATGGAAAATTTTCTCACATAACGATGCTGAGAATAACATAGGGGGATAATCTCAGTAAAAAAAAACCCGAAAACAAGAACGGAACGTCACTAAGAATAAAAATAGACAACTGAATTTACATGTCCAAATAATGTGAAAGAATTGCTTGGATAATTATTCTCTCATAAGACATATCGAATGCAAATATGACAAAAAGCATTCGGTCACATAGCTGAGGAGACAGTATGAATCGATGATGGAACCAGGTTTTGTCGGCAAATCAAAAGGACAGCCGCTTCCTGGGGTTACAAGCGGTAGTAGGTTGTGAAAAGACAAGATCGCCCATGACACGGATATTCAGGCTTGTGACTATATATATTGTGATTAATATACGAGCAAAAATAAAATGCTTTTCACAAAAAACTTAATGATTTCATTATATATTATATAACAATAATATCATGATATCCCCCAGACAAATCTACGTTTTATGGTACCTCGTCTCATTGCATGGTTACGAACTATAAACATAAATTGAGCTTGAAATATTATATAATCAGCTATCATATAATGAATAATTTACTGTAAAATAAGCAATTATTTAAATACAGTAGCGGCTCGGAATAAAAAATTGGAGATTAGATTTCGAATACAAGTTGCTTCTCGATACATTTCCTTACGCGCAAATATCTTTGTGAAAGTTAGGAATCCATCTGTTCTCCCCGTAGCTATGGGTTAAAAATTAAGACTTCTAACTGGTTAAAAATCATTGTTATTGTAAAAAAAATTCTTAATGCAATATTCACTCGCACGACAAAAAAAAAAAAAATAATTATTCTTACAATCCAAAATATGTTTCGGAATTAGATAACCAACATCGGGTTGATCGTCCCTAAAATAAAAATCAATTAATCAATCAAAGATCATCCAATGCATTCCTTTCGGGAGTGACTCGGATTAATCACTCCGTACACGCAATCATTTATACATAATATTTTTATAGTTTTAACGTTCTTTTCCACTAAACAATTATGGTTCTAATATGAATTTAAAGTTCATAACAATCTGAGAACGTTTATCTCTTGACTGATCTGTTTTTTACGGATTAATATACATGTGAAAATATTTTCTAGATTGCAAAACGTTTTAGATTGTAATTTTTTTCTGGTAATGATGATTCAATCATGCAAGTTCTACTAATTAACCCATAAAAGGAGGGAGAATAGGTGGATGCATAACTTTTCCAAGGGGATTTACGCGTAAGAAAAACTGGACTGGAATTGGATCTTGACTCTCCGAGTTCCAATTCCAAGCTATTATCTACTGACGCACCCGCATATCCAAACTTACAGAACCTGGGATTCTCAAACGTCCACCCGTTATTGGTTCAGGCTAGGCTCAACGTTGCTTAACTACGGGGTTCGTTCGAGAACCGGTGTTTTAATCAGATATAGTCACAAGCCTGAGAACTTTCAACGAATAAGCAACTAATATGAAATTCAGACAGACGTAAAATTACTGCTTAAATAACTAAATAAAAATACAAAAATGACGAAATCACCAGTGTTAGTTTTCAGAAATTATTTTAAATATACAGTAGCGGCCATAATATAAGGAACGGAAACAACAAAGTTATAAATATGTGTATTACTTATAAAGTAATGCATGTTTAGCAATGAAATTTTTACCGAATAAATTTTTACCGAATTATGTAAATTTTTGTAACTTTGTATAATATTTATGCATTAATCTTTATTCGGTAAAAATTTCATTGCTAATCATGCATTACTTTATAAGTAATACACATATTTATGTCTTTGTTGTTTCCGTTCCTTATATTATGGCCGCTACTGTATATTTAAATTTCAATTGTTAGGACGTTAATTCAAAGACATGAATATACACACACAAGCACACACACACACACATACATACATATATATATATATATATATATGTATAAATATATATATATATATATATATATATATATATATATATATATATATATATATATATATATATATATATATACGTGTATGTGTGTAGATATTAATCTACATATGATAATTTTGCGACAATACGTGCTTAAATGTTTTATACAGTTTTGATAATCATTTTTTTCATGCTTAGCTGTAAAGAATTGTAAATATAGGACTATATTACACTTAAGTAAAATAATAAGAATAATATTTAATAAGAATTTATTGCAGGAAATATCAAATTTTATGGAAACATTTTTGACAATAATGTATTTAGTTACATAATAATTAAATAGAAATAAAATAAATTTTGATGCTATATTGTATCTTTTAGGTATTTTTCATTTTCTCCTTTGTTATTGGCAGCATTTTAGAATGCTTTGGGTGCAATGCTAAGTTTCCTAAGCACAAGAAAGTGGAGCTGTTTTGTTTACGTATTGTTACCTCAATTTTCCATTGTTGTTTCTCGATCGCTTTCTTCCAATAGCGAAATGCTGAAATTCAGAATGAATTTATTCCATTTAAAAAACAAACCCTGTAAAAAGGAATATTTTAAATTAATATACGAGCAAAAATAAAATGCTTTTCACAAAAAACTTAATGATTTCATTATGATTATATAACAATAATGTCATGATATCCCCCAGACAAATCTACGTTTTATGTTCCCTCGTCTCATTGCATGGTTACGAATTATAAACATAAATTGAGCTTGAAATATTATATAATCGGCTATCATATAATGAATAATTTACCAATTTTTTTTTTTAGTTGAATATGCCCTCCTCTGCCGAATGTGTCATATATATATATATATATATATATATATATATATATATATATATATATATATATATATATATATATATAAAGAATAAAAAAAAAAAATGTCTTCGTTAATCATAGTTTTCCATTTGTCCAAGTTTCATTAAAAATGGCTGACAAGATATTTCCTACAAGTTTTTTTTTTATTTGAGGTTTTTGTGTTCATTAATTTTCTTTTCTGTACAAAAATAATATAGAAATTTTCCGAATGTTCTGTATGACAAGCGCTTTCGGCTTATTTTTTATACCATTATCAAGGATTATTTTACTTTTTTTAACATTTAACTAAATGTATGGATTGTTTTAGATACGTATCTAAAGTTATAGGAATTTAAAACATTGTCGCCGAGTTCACAGTAAATGTTACTGAGTGCTCTTTGACAGTGTTTAGAATATAACTTTTCTAGTTGGAAGGTGTGTCTGGGAATGAAATTCCTCGATATCTTTTAACACAAAACGGCGGCAGTTCGCTACCGAGTAGAATTGTGTATGAGTGGATCGAGAAATTTAAATGTGACCAGACAAGTGGGGGGCTCGAAGAAGTAACAGAACGTCCGTTAATCTCCATCAGTAACGACGAGATTCAGCAAGTACGAGAGATGGTAATAGCAAATTGTCATCAATGACGTAGCATGTTCTCTGAAGATTCGGATCCCTGCTCTCCGTTACTCCTTGGGGCACGCAGCTAGTGGAACGGACATGTTTGCATTAACAGCAGCCCCCACCCCCAAAAAAGAAAAAAAAAGCGCGATCAATCACGAACTACGATCACGTGACCACAGTAGTACCAACTGGAAGCATGCGTGAACAGAAAGCTGTGCGACAGACCTAAATCTTACTTATTATAAAACGCAGATTGTGTGTGTGTGTGTGTGTGTGTGTGTGTGTGTGTGTGTGTGTGTATGTGTGTGTGTACGTTTATATATTGGATCGGATTTCCTACATTTTTCAACCGATTTCGACAAAACTTCACAGGACTGCGTAAAATTACCTTGCGGTGGTTCTGATAGCGCCAAAAAGTGGAAAAACACAATTGTTTTTGCACGAAATCAATTTGAAAACATGATAAAACACGATTCTGTCACCAGAATGAAAGGGTGACAACTCATATCGAGTTATACTTATTATACAAACCCAGGTTGTTTGTGTGTGTGTGTGTGTCCGTTTATATAGGGGATCGGATTTCCTACATTTTTCAACCGATTTCAACAAAACTTTTTTTTTGGCAGGTAGTGTTTCTTATTGTCTTGCACACTTTTTTCTTTATTGCTACATTCAGAATGCTTTAAAAATTCCATTTACAAGACAATTGTTTATAATAAAATTCTATTCAATCGGTAGACTCATATCGATTGAAAACAATATTTTTGTTTGAGTTTAGGTTTGACCAATTCGTAAAAAAAACAAACAAAAAAAAACAAACAAAAAATCTAATTAAGACATGCGTGTCTGTCAACCTTAAACAATAATCTTTGTCAATTTTATTTTTCAGTCTTTATGATGGTCGATACTTGATCTATCTCTTACTGTTACATCCCCGGGCAACGCCGGGCTCTACTGCTAGTTTATACTATGTCGAATGTGGATAATTGTTGACTTAGCGTCGTATATTTTCATCAAACCGACTCTTTCTGGTATTGAACCATTCAAATTTTCTCTATTCTACCATACTATGCCCAACGAAGTGACATAAACAATATGCAAACAGATTTTTCTCTGGTTGGATTTCTGGGAATTTGCATTATAATACATTTTAAAATAGCCCGGTTATCGATTATACATACGTCATATTTTTATGTTCTTCATACTATTGATCGCATTGTTTGTACTGCGCATTTTGTTACCAAGGACTTTCAGTCGGACCTTTCTACAGTCTTCTGCATTTGTACAGTATATATGTGAAGAGACGCTGACCCATTTCAATAAAATGGCGGGAAACAAAAGGAATATGAGCAAATATACTGATAGGGGTAACTCATTTCGAACCCAGTAAATCACTCTGCAATATATACATTGCTAAAGATTTCAAGCAATAGTAGGAATGGCGTTCTATAGAATTCATGTCGCGAAAGCTCCTCCTCATGAGAATCGAGTAAGAATAATTTAGACCTGCTACTTTTTGAGATTTATATAATCGAAATATTTCTTCCACAAGAAGAAATTAATGTTTCTGCAAACAAGCACCAGCAGACATTGGTAAAAGACCATATTATTGTATTCAAATTCTCCCAGTGCAGTAAAGCCATTTTCTATCGCTTATCAGGATTATTTCTACTTTCAACCAAGTTGTGCGTGAATTCAATAATTTTCATATCGATTTTCAAATTCTCGCATTTTACTTACAATGGTTTCCTCCCTGTACAAGGACTGAGAGCCGCTCGACATAGAGGGTTACATTATGTGTCCTACAAATGTCAGCTTTTGATTTCTGATCTCAAATAGAAAGGTACTTTTTATTTCTATTTTTCTTAAATCGTTGTTCACATGTTCAGTTCATGATATTCTCAGCATCATTCTGCAGAACAACATTTCTGCTGCCTCAAGACTCTTCTTCCTCTGTGTGAAGACAGATAATCTAACATACAGAAGGGCGGCTATTACATAACTTATCAGTACTCATTTCTATATTTCTAACTACATTTTAACGTCTCCAAAGCGATTCGAATACTTAAAAAAGAGGTTTTTCAACACTTCATATACTACCGATTTGATATAATATGCTAGTCAAATTTTCCTCATTTGCAACGAAATTTTCCTGTTTCTTAATATAATTCTCAGTTTTTGGAATGTATCTCTCTTCCAATACACCTGATGATTTTCGGCATTACATTTTCTATCCTCTGTTGAAAACTTACCTAATTTTTTTTATTTGTTCTGATTGTCTCTCGTACCTTGTTCGCATTTTGGGTTGTTTTTTCTTGCAGACAGTTATACATTCAATTTTCTTGTAATTGGTTGGTATCCATTTTTTTTTAAAGAAACGGGAACATGTTTTTAGAAACAAGGAAAAAAATAAGAGCTGAACTGCTATGTATTATAAATTTTCTTAGAGTAGAAGAGAGACTTTCAAACAATATTGAGGTTTTTTTTTACAGAAGTTAAAGCAAGCAAGGAGAAAGTACTCTGGAGAATGAAAACAATAGGCTATTTATAATTTTACTCAGCTTTAGTTGGATTTCTTGGACATAGATTGCGAAGAGAATGCCTGAGATATTTTCCACTTCACAGGCCATTTTGAACCAAGAGGGAGGGGGGAATTACTGAATAACTCAACCTTTCGAAATAGATAGCATTCCATATGTGAGGAATTGTAAAATGGCAAATATTGGTAAGAGCTACAAAGACTGGGAAGTTGTGGACAGCTATGGTCGCCTACGTTCTGACAGAACAGAGCACATACTATTATTATTATTATTATTAGTAGTAGTAGTAGTAGTAGTAGTAATAGTAATAGTAGTAGTAGTAGTAAACAAAAGAAGAAAGAGGAGGAAGAGAAGCTATGGTTTTTAAACTTCAAAATTCCAATGAAGCTCATTTCGTCTTTCAAGTCTTAAACTTCGTAAATTTTATTTCTTGATTGTAGCAAATTTTCCGCAATAGAACGCCATTAAATTTCAGCATCCCAAGTTAATAATGTTAATAATGTTCTTCTTTCATTATTCCTGATTTTCTTTTTAATCTAAGCTCTTTTAATATATGACCTGGGGAGGGAGGGGTTCCACCAGGTCTGTTTCGCCAAAATCACGCTACGCATGAATGAATACCTACTAAGAAATTTGAAGAATACTGGCCATGTATTAAGTTGTGCAGCGATCCGAAGAACATACACTGTCATATGACTGATGATGATGATGATGGTGATGATAATGGATATTTTTTTTCTATTACAAATGTCACCATATTTGATTTCTTCTTCTTCTTCTTCTTCTTCTTCTTCTTCTTCTTCTTCTTCTTCTTCTTCTTCTTCTTCTAATTGCTACCACTACTATGACCACAACATGACGATGACGACGACGAAGAGCATATCTCTCAGTTATTAACAAATCCTATTTTATCGTTGAAGCAAAATTCACACAAGCGAGTGCTAAAAAGACCAAGTAATAGACCATATGAGATGCCCATTAGGAAAAGAAAGGAAATTGTATTTTTATACATGAATCCCTAGAATTTTTCACTTCCGGTAATTTGTCATCAAGTAATTAGAACTTCCGTTAATTTCATCAAATTACGTCTGCTTTTCGTTTGACTGGTCCATCTTTGATCTGTTAAATGCCTTTAATGAATCCCGGTTCGATCTTCCTTTTCTGTTCTATTTGAGATGTGAGTTCAACCGGAAGTTGCGTCAATCATTCCACTTCTCTCCCACCGTGTCTGTTCTAATGGTAACAGCGATGTTGCACCATAATTAATTGATGTAATGAACTGAAAGTTCAGTCAGAGAAAGATGATGCACGACAAAGAAGCTACAATAAATTCTGTACACACGATCGAGCAGTAAACTCTGAGAATTACTTTGTTTTATTGGAATAAATTTCAAGTTCAATCATATTTGAAATATATGAATTGGATTTTTAAGCAGAAGCAAATAATTCATATATATACTGTGAAATGTATTTCTCCTGCATCGAACATCTTTCTTTCTTTCTTTCTTTCTTTCTTTCTTTCTTTCTTTCTTTCTTTCTTTCAGTCTATTCATTATCTCTAATATTATATCTATCTATCTATCTATCTATCTATCTATCTATCTATCTATCTATCTATCTCAGTCTGTTCATATCTATCTATCTATCTATCTATCTATCTATCTATCTATCTATCTATCTATCTATCTATCTCTTTCTTTCTTTCTTTCAGTCTATTCATTATCTCTAATATTATATCTATCTATCTATCTATCTATCTATCTATCTATCTATCTATTTTTTTTTCTTTCGCTGTTTCTATCGTTCATTCTTTTTCTCTGCCTGTCTTTTTTTTTCTCTCTTCAAATATTATATTTCACTCTCTCCCTCTCTATCAATTTTTCTTTTTCTTTTACTTATTCTTTCTTTCTTCAAAAAATCCCCCTCTTTATCTTACCTTTCATTTTGTCTGTTTTTCTTTCTACAAATATTATATTTGTGTTTCTCTTTCTCACTCTCAACCTTTTCTTTTTCTTTCACATTTTCTTTCTTTCTTTCTTTCTTTCTTTCTTCAAATACCCTCCTTTTCTATATTTATTTTCTTTCTTTCTTTCTTCAAATTTCCCCATCTTTATGTTCCTTTTCACAGTGTTTTCTTTCTGTCTGTATCTTTCTATAAATATTCTCACAATTTATCTTATTTCTTCTTTCTTTCTTCTTTTCTTATTTTCTTCATATATTCTCTCTTTTTCTTTTCACACTGTGTGCTTCTTTCTTTCTTTCTTTCTACAAATATTCTCACTCTTTATGATTATTTTCCTTTGTTTGCTTCTTTCACTCTTTTGTTCGCTTTATATCAACTAGCAAAATACGCAATGGTTCTCCTATATGAACTTCTTGATGTACCTTAATTCAGAAGTTAATGAATGAATACGATCATTGCGTGTTCCCCGACTATAAAATGCCTATAGAAATTCAAATACAACGTCGTTTAATCTTTGCGTTTAAAAGTTTTAACAAAATTTTATAGTAATCATAAGTATGAATGCAAGCCGTTAGTTAATTAAGATGATACAAAAGGTTAAGATTGTTTCAAATTATTTCTTTCTTTTCCATTCTTTTTCCTAAACGAAAACAACGCCGTTGCTATATAGAGTGCGATAGGTAAATTGTCACCATTTTTTTTATTTGGCGCATGCGCGTTGTTTGTGTCGACAGAACAACACAGTAGGATCATTTTGACACTGTCTGCAAGAAAAATAGCACCATGACGCAATTCACGCCGCCAGAAATTTGGAAACGGAATGCTGTACTGTTTGACATTCACACCGGAATCACAAACATATTGACGAACATTTCAGAGTAGTTGGGTTTCAATCTGGGGACAGTGCGGAGGATTCGAAAAGAGTTGCATGGTGATTACAAAGGTGATTTGCGTGATCACTAGTGATGGCGAAGTTACGCCTCGATTCTTCTTCTCACTGAGACAAACTCAACACGGAGACCTACATCAAGTGACTTGAGGAGGTAGTGTTGTCCCGGATCAAGTGTGGTGTCTGCTGGAAAACCCTATATCTGAAAACAGGGCTCTGTACCATGTCATACAAGCAGGAGAGACTAGTTATGGTTATTAGATAATTTCTACGACCACATCCCCCTTATATTTAGCCAAAAAACTCCCCAGTCTGCAACTTTGTTGTTTATTAGGCAGTTGGCCTTGAGACTAACATAACTCCTTGTAATACCAAAGATGAACTGAAGACAATGTTTATGGCAGTATTCACCAACTTAAACAAGGAAACCGTCCAGAAGAGTTGCAAGAGATTCCGAAGTAGTCTGGAGGCTGTCGTTGAAGCTCATGGCAAATTTATGGAGTAAATTTACTTTTTAGCATTTCAAGATATTTTTTGTGTAATATATCTTATAAATGCGATGTTAGTGCTGTTTTCATTTTTGCGTTATTTCGACGACAATTTTTCCCTCGCACTCTGTATAGCGGGAAGCATATTGCTGTAGCGAGTTGTTGAATATAATAGGTGTTTCATTAAGACGGATTATATATAAGGGTGTTTCATTAAGACGGATCAAAGTCAGCAGTAAATAAATCAGTGTTATTGGTGAGAATTTATGTATTTCTTTATCGGGTCATGTTATTTAAGTCATGGTGTGAAAAATAATATCGTCCAAATGTCCGCTAAGGCTTCGGCGACACACCTACACACGATGGTCAAAAATGTCTCTGCATAGTTGATCCTCGATCTCACCAATACGCCTTATTATCTCATCCTTCAGCTTTTGGACTGAGGTCGGCTTATTAGCATAGACTTTACTTTTGAGAGGGATCGAAAGGAAGAAATCTAAAAGCGTCAAGTTGCTGTTTCAAGAGATGATGCGACATGGGAAATTCTCATTGCATTTCTGTTTGAACGTCCATTTTCTTAATAGGCTTCAATAACATTAACACGTTGTTTATATGTAACATTTCTTATGTTCCTGACATTTAGGTTAGTTTTTATGTCTCTGTCGAATCCCATATTTTCGAATCTCTTTATTATTGCTTTTCTAGATTTAACTGTTTGTTTTTTATCGTTTATTTAGATTATGGAACCGTCGTCAGTGTAGAGTCCTGTGTCATTTCTATCTAGTATTTTGCTTATTTCGTGTCGTAAATTTATACCTTAATTCGAATTTCCTGCACTTTTATATGTCAATAAATTGTGTTTCATTAAGACGATTCAAAGTCAACAGTAAATAAATCAGTGTTATTCGTGAAAATTTATTTATTTCTCTATAGGGTCATGTTATTTAAGTCATGGTGTGGAAAATAATATCGGCCAAATGGACCGGCAAGGTTGGCGGCGCACCTCGATGGTCAAAATTTTTTATCATGTCTCTGCATAGTTGCTCCTAGATTTCACCAATGAGCCTTATTCTTATTCTTCAGCTGTTGGACTGATGTTGGCTTATTGGCATAGACCTTACTTTTGAGACAACCCGAAAGGAAGATATCTAAAGGTGTTAAGTTGCACGATCATGGTGGCCAATTGACTTCGCTGTTGCGAAATGAGAAATTCTCATTGCATTTCTGTTTGAACGTCCATATTTTTAATAGGCTTAGATAACTTTAACACGTTGTTTATATGTAACTTTTCTTATGTTCCTGACTTCTAGAAAATCTACTTCATTTAGGTTAGTTTTTATGTCTCTGTCGAATCCCATATTTTCGAATCTCTTTATTATTGCTTTTCTAGATTTATTTGTGATTTGTTTTTGTTTTTTTATAGTTTATTAAGTTTATGAGACCGTTGTCCCTGTAGAGTCCTGTGTCATTTCTATCTAGTATTTTGCTTATTTCGTGTCGTAAATTTATACTTGAGTTCGAATGCCCTGCACCGTTCTATGTATACAAAGTGTGTTTCATTAAGACGTATCAAAGTCAGTAGTAAATAAATCAGTCTTATTGGTGAAAATTTATTCATTTCTCTATGTTGTTTAAGTCATGACAATTATGTATGAAAACAAATATCGCCCAAATTTTCCTGCTAAATCTGAAAGAAAAAGAAAAAAATAATCATTAGAAGTTTAAATGTAATTCACATTTAAAATCGGTCCAAGTTATTGGAACACCCTTTAGAGCTCAGAATATAAGAAATGTTCGCCTATCGTTGCCGTCAGCATCGATAAAAATGGAATCGGCGCAACTAGTTCAAATTCCAAGCGGGTGACTTGCGTTAATTTTGGAAACGTATGGATCCATCGATTCTAACTACAGAGCAGTTTCGGCTTTCTATAGCCTTGGATAATAATCAGCCTGGACGAATCGTAATTGCGAATTCAAAAATCAGTTTAGGCGTTGGTATGTCAAATCCACCCTAGTAAAAACACCTGCATGCTGCAGAGACTTTTACAATAATAATTGCGTGTTGTGGCTATTCTCCTGTTGGGGTGGAGGCGCGGGTCATGGAATGGGTATTTGAACGGGAGGAGAAATTGGAGAGCCGGGTTCGAGTTCATATATGCGCAAATACACTTGTATGTGTTATATAGTAGGACGCGTATATGGATACATCATCGTTATTTACAAAACAAGTTTAAATGCAATATTCATTCATGGTAGAAATAATTTAAAATCGCAAATATATTTTGCTTTAGCTAACCACAAAAGGGTTGTTAAGCCGTAAAAAAAAAACCCAGACCAAATCAAATTATTTACAGGAGGTTTAACGGTACGAAGCAATAGGAAGAGGACGGTGAGGAATCAAGATATTAGTGCCCAGGATAAATTAACGGTTAATACGATTATATCCAATGTCGATACTGACGCAGTCACCACACAATCTTTTAATTCTGTCAGGAACTTTGACGAAATTGAGATCTTAACAGTACGTACAGGGAAATCGAAAAATCACAATAGTTTTATGGTTTCAATTGAAGCTTTTCATTTCTCGACATCTGAATGAAAGGCTTCCTGTAATATGTAACACCCAGGGAAAGATACGACCGGTTTCAACTTCGGTGGTAATCTATTGAATGAAACGGTATGTAATGGTTAGCAACCTTGTCTAACTAGAGCAATTTTGAGTGAGCAATGAGTTTGTTCCTTACTGGTTGCCCCTACACTTAGAAAATCACGAAAGAAATTAGAAACTTTATTCAGTAATAAAGGAAGCCAACAAATTCAAAAAAGAATTTCAAGTGACTCAAAAAGGGCAAATAAGACATAATAAAGTGTGTTCCAATACCTTTTACAGATTTTAAATATGAATCAAGTTTAATCGTCTAATGAACTTTTTCTTTTTCTTTCAGATTTAGCGGATATTTGGGCGATATTATTTTCCACACATAATTGCCATGGATTAAATAACATGATCCAATAGAGAAATAAGTAAATCTTCACAAATAACACTGATTTATTTACTGCTGACTTTGATCCGTCTTAATGAAACACCCCTTAAATCTACTGCACCTGCAAAGAACTTAAGAAAATAAAACAAAAGCAAATGCAATGTACCAAATGCAGAAATGGTGGCAAGATAAGCTTTTTCATAGTCATTACCAAGCAAGCTGATGTAGACATACATCGTACCCATCAGTAATTACGTCGTGCAGGGTTAACATCTGAAACCGAAGGTTTTATTCTTGCTACACAGGGCCAATTCTTGTTAAATAGAAATTATCAAGCATGCATACTAAAAAAACTGTGTTAACTCCAAATGTAGATTCTGTGATAAATATCCAGAACAATCGATCATCTTGTATTAGGTTGCACAGTATTATAACCAAGCGAATATAAGCTCAGCATGATAGTGTGAGTCAATATCTGCACTGGAAAATATGCAATTTTTAAGGGATGGTAATTGCAAGAAAATGGTATGATCATCACCCAGACCCGGTTACAGAGATAGAACCTGTAAGAATTTCATGGGACTTTACAATACACACAGACAGTACAATCAAAGCTAATCACCCAGACATCGTAATCAAAGACCACAAGAACTGAATATGCTTTCTTATTTATATGGAGGCCTATGCAGAATGTACTCCATCTTTTACAATATTCACAAACTAATAAAATACAAGGATCTTCAAATGGAAATCTGAAAAATGTGGCAAATGATGACATCAATAATTCTAGTTGTAGTTGGAGCCCTCGTATTAATTGAGAAAAGGTTCCAATAGACACATTAAAGGGATCCACGTCAGCCTTAAAGAAATGCATAAATTGTACTCACAAATGTAGACCACGCCTTACGAAGGGATTTATCTATGTAAAATGAGTGTGTTTTCCCGAAAGAATGCTCAATGGAAAATGTCATGATGCCATTTCTGACATTGTCTCTGTCTGGTATCCGGAATGAAATGAG